CTCCGTTTTAAATCCTGGTTTGATATTTCTGTGCCATTCAGTCTTTTGGTATCATGGTCTCTGACATTCAGCCCTGCCAGCTCCATTTTTCTACTCACTTAGTTTCAGTGTAGATCAACACATGAGAACCAAGGCTTTTTCCTTTACCTATGCCTATAGGTTTCTTTGGAGGTTGTGTTTATTTGACTCTCTAAAATCAAAAACATTCCAAATGGAATGGCCTGAACTAGTTAATGAATATCTTCCTTATCTCATTTACATATCTCCAGTGATTGTATGTGAGGTGTACTGGTAGCTCTGTTCCCTTTAGTGAGATTTCAGGTGCTAACTGTAACTGTCAGACCAGCTCTCATTTAAGTGACCTCTGATGCCTGTGATTCCATAATGCATCCCAGTATTTCAATCCTTACAGGCAGCCTCCCAACTGTATGGAAAACATATCCTCAGTATGAGTGTTCAAACTGCAAACTTCCCTAGGAAATCTTTGCACTGTGTAAAAACTAGTTCAAAATACTTCAGTTCTATGCATGATGATTACTTTCCTCCATACTCTTACTATAATTTCTAGCCTGGAAAATAATCTTTAGTGTTGGTCTTAGTTAAAATGCCTAGTTTTTTAACTATCTTAGCAAATATTAACCAAAATTGCTGGCTTTATGATTAAATTGGTGGGTTTGAAACTGGTTTCCTAGTAATTTTAAGCCTTATGCTGATAGGGGAATTCAGAAGGGTTTTTTCAATACCTCGGCTTTCTATTGAAACTAAAATTTTCATACATGTTCTTGGGTTTTCCATCTCTCAAGGCAAGCTGGTGGGAAAATTACAAGTAATTCATAGCATTGGCATGCATAGCACTTCCTTTCCACATCACAGATTTTATCAGGTATTTTGAATTCCTGTTCTTCATTGAAATGTTCTGAAGTGGCTGAAGCTGTACTTGGATTGTTTGCCATCAGGCAGTGTGCGTGTAGAGCCAGGTGTAGCTTCCAAGGAAAAGTGAAATACAGCCCTGAAAACAGGACAGTTCCAGCCCCTAGTCAGTGGATACTCTGTGTTCAAGCCTACACTTTTACCATGGAGATTTCTTAATTTTGGTGTGATGCTTTCAAGAGGTTCACAGTGGAGCTGCTGAGATCTAAGGCACCTGACCAGAACCTGAAATCAGAGTGTTGTAATTGGAGCAGTGGGCCTGCACCACCCCAGAACTGAGTACTAATTAATTGTTTGAGCAGTAAGCTCCTCCCTTCGTGCTCTGCAGACGGCAGCACAGCCTTACCCTGAAAATAATGAAACACGCTGCAGCTAAAACCTCGTGGTTCTGCCTTGTGTGCAGCCACCTCTGGCACCTCTGCTGCTCCTGGGGTTGGTGTTTCTGTCCCACCCTGAGCGCCGGGGTGGGAGCCCAGCGCTGGGGGCTGGGGGGTGTGGAACCCCCTGGCTGTGTTTGGGGTGGTTGTGGTGTGCTTGGCCTGCAGAGAGGTGAAGGGCTCTTGGGGGATGGATAGGCATCTCTGGGCTCTGGTCACAGTGCAGTTTGGTGATGCCCACTGCCAGGAATCCAGATTCCTGCTGCTGTTCTAAGTGCACTTCCATGCAACTCTGATAAAATGTTTAAGGAGCAATTAGAAGCTTCCAAGCAATTACTTCGTCATGTTTTTGACTTTTGAAGACAAGTTACAAATAAAGGTCATTTAATTTATAAAATCCTACCTTTGTGTCAGCCCTTGTCATTTCTCCCTCATGGTCCTCGTGTTTCCTTTGAGCACTCATTGGGCTGTGCCCGACTGAGACTCCTGATGGATTTAAAGGCACCTGTGTGCTGTGTGTGCACAGCCTGGGCTCATCTCCTTTGGGTGCTGGGAAAGCCTCGGTGTGGCACAAACCAGCTGGGGCTCCCAAAGGCGGTGACTGTCCCCAGCTGGGCTCCCAAAGGCGCTGGGTGTCCCCAATTGGGGCTCCCAAAGGCGCTGCGTGTCCCCGGGAAGGGCGCAGTGCTGCTCGCACCTCGTCAGCAGCTGATCCTGCAGCTGCATTGTGGCGATAATGCAATCGGGCCAGCCCAGAGCTGTGAAATTCCCCGTGTCTGGCACAAGGAGTCAGCCCGAGGAGCGCAATTAGCACAGAGACACAATGGGAGGAGCCGGGTTTGCTGCTGAGCTGTTCTATCAAATTCGTCTCCGGACAACGACTGGTCTTAATAGTTGTGATAAATTGTTGTCAGCATTAATTTCCTAATGCACGGTATTGCTCCGTGCGGAATTGCAGCGGCAAATCCCCATGGTCTCCTTAGGCTGGGGGATGAGATCTTGCCAAAGCTTAAGTGCTGTATTCCAAGTCTTAATGTCACCTGACTGAAAAGAGAACAGCAAATCTTCTTCAAGGCCTCTGCCCAGCTGTACTGGACTCTCACTGGTGAGCCCACCTCACTGAGGATTAACCAACCAAGGCTGTGTTAAGTCGTGGAAAAGAAAATGAGGGATGTGTTTGCAGTCCTAAAGCTTTTCTTTGGTTTGAATGTGCTAAAAATTACAATGGAGCATTTGGCTGCTTTGGGAGTGGGTTTTTGTTTGTTTTTCTGACAAACAGCTTTGTGTTACAGTTGCATTGGTCTGTGCTTCATTCAATTTCATGGGCAAATTACATTATTCTCTGGGTGGTACAAATGAGGACTGTTGAAACCACTATGAAACCTGCTTTTCCTTCCTTACTCCTTCCCCAAAGCTCCAGAAAATACTCAGCACTTAGTGAAAAATTGGTGTCATTGCTACCGGCTTAGATCTCTCTTCTAGTTCTTCTCACATTTATTCTGTCTTTACCGATGCTGGGGTTTAAGACAACGATTCCGTGGAGGTTCAGGGAGCTGCCTGAGGAGCGAGGCTCCCCGGCCGGGGCTGGGCCCGGAGCGGCTGCTCGGGGCTGCGGACGGCAGAGGGAGGCCTTGCGTCTCGGAGGGAGCGGGCTCGCTGCTCCCGGCGCAGGGCCCAGCCCCAGGGAGGCTCCAGGGAGCTCCTCCAGCCCTGCCGAGAGGATTCACGGCCCGTCCCGTGGCCGGAGCTGCTCTGCTTCCCACCGCGGCCTCCCTCGGCCGGAGGAGCTCTGCTCTGCAGCCAGACGTTCATGGAGACCTGGGGCCAGGGAAGTGAAAAGAATAATTTTCAGCAGACTTGTTGCCCTGGAGGTGGTTGAAGTATTTGTGAGCTCCTCGGGCCAGTCCTTGCATGTCCGGGACCGGAGCTGTGCCGCGGGCTGGTGGCAGGTCTGCTCTGAGCACGCTGGGGCTCAGCTGATGGTCAGGGTGGGACGGTGGAGAAACTCCGCCGTGAGGCACTGCCGAGCTTCCCCTCCCCTGCGTCCTGCTCTGTCCCCTGTCGTGCTGGCTCACAGGCACAGCTAGGTCAGGCCGCTCTCTCCCTTGATCTCGTTTTTATCCCTAGCACAGGCGAGTTTCCACACGCAGCGGTTGGAACAGATCTGATTGCTGCCATTTCAGAAAGAGCAGCAAACCACTCTCTGTGCTCCCGGTGCGAGCGTCCCCGCTGTAACCACATCCGCGGCAGGTGGAGCGGCCGGGCCGGGGGAGGCACCTGCGCAGCCCCGGGGCCGCCCCAGCCCCAGGAGCGGCGCCTCGGCACCCCGAGAACGGAGCACCCGAACTCTGCGAGCTGTGTCCCCCGAGGCCCTCGGGGGCGCTTTTCCCCTGAGCTTCAGGCTGACCCGGGGATGAGTTTGGCAGATTAACACCTGCGGGAAGCCACGGGCAGCTCGGCAGCGAAAGAGGGACGATGCGGCAGCAGAGCACAAGGCTGCAGGGGAAGGCTTTGCAAACGCGTCTGGTCTGGGCAGGATGCGCGAGGCCGGCAGGACAGGCTCTCCGAGCCGCTCCTGCCCCGAGGGCAGGCTGACGGTGAGCTCAGCCCCGGCCTGCAGCCGTGCCGGCGGAAAGCTTTGCCCCACTTCTGCATTTCGTTGTGGCTAAACAGCAAGATGCGGTCAGCAGGGGCTGGCGCGGCGGTGTGCGGTGTGTGACGGCCGAGTCACGAGTGGCCCGGCGCACGGCCCCGTTCCGAGGGCAGGGCCGGAGGAGCGCTCCCAGCAGGGCCCGTTCCTCCCGCGGCAGCCGCCAGCAGCTGCCCCGGCGCGGAGCGCGGCGCTGCAGCAGGTGCCTGGAGCCGTGCCCCGAGCCCTTCCAGCGGGGAAACCCCCGTGAGGCCGGGACAGGCGGGAGCTGGGAGCGCAGGCTGCGCCTCTGACTGCTGCATCTCTGCCCCAGCGCCCGCTGGCCGTGCCTGGGCTCCTTCCCACCGGCACACGGCCCTGGGAGCGGGGAGCCACGGGGAGCGAGTGCCTCAGGGGCTGTGGGACCCGCCCTGCCCGCGGTAAAGAGTCAGGGGAAGGCAGCAGGGAGGAGAACAGAGAGCTTGCTGCGGGAACGGCTGCGCTGCCCAAAACCTTCCCAGCAGAAACCAAAATGTGTCTGGGCAGGTGCTCCTGACCCTGGCAGCAGGAGGGAGTCACCGAGGGATCCATCCCGCTGCTCCAAAAGTCACTGCCTCTTCCCAGAGGACTGTTAGCCTCTGAAGGGTGCTTCACGGCAGGGGCACGGCAGAGGCTTGTCCCACGCTGCACCGCAACCCACAGCCGTGGGGAAGGGGAAGGACAGGCAGCAGGGGTGCGGGATCCCCGCCGGGCACAGCGCCTTCCTCCAGCCCAGCGCCGGGCACGGGCCGTGGGTCGGTCCAGGCTCCCGGAGCACCGGGAGCACGGTCCGGGGAAACGCCCGGGAGAGGGGCCGGGAGGGCCGGGGCAGCAGCGGCGGTTCGTGCTCCGGCAGCGTGGGAGCGGCCCCCGGGCCCCGTCCCCCGGCGGGGCCGACACCTGCCCGAGCCCGCCCCGTCCCTCCCGGCCATTGGCTGCGGCCCCGCGCCCGCCCCGCGCCGCGCCCCCGGCCCCGCGCCCATATCAGCGGCAGCGGCGGCGCCGCGCGGCACCGGGGCTGCAAGATGCCGCGCTCGTTCCTGGTGAAGAAGCACTTCTCGGCCAGCAAGAAGCCCAACTACAGCGAGCTGGAGAGCCAGGCCGGTACGGGACGGGCACGTGGGGCGCTCCGCGGGTGGGGCGGCGGCTCCGGTGCGGGATCTCCCCACGGCTCGGCACAGGAGCGGGCAGGGACTGACCGGCTGTCCCGGGGTGGCGGATTTGTTTGTTCGTTTCGGTTTTGTGCGGCTCGTGGGGCGCGATCCCGTGTCCTGGGATGCTGAGCCGCTCCCTGGTACCCCGGGGTGTCGGCGGCTCCCTCGTGGGGCGCACATGGGTGCGTGGGGAGCTCCCCGTGCCCGTAGCGGGCGGGAGCCTGGGGGTCTCTTCACTCCCTCCTTCTCGGCGAGGCGGGCAGGGGCGCGAGTCCCTGTGGTGTGAGGCCGGTCACCTCTGCCCCGGGGCGGGCTGGGCTCTGGGCTCCCGTGGGGGTCTGGGGTCCCTTTGCTCCTCAGACTCGGGGTGCGGCGCGGGGCTCCCGAGGGCTGGCCTGGGACGGGGTCCCACCGAGCCCGCGGGGTGGGCCCCGCTGACCGCCGCTGTCTCCCGCAGTGCTGGCGGCCCCGCTGCTGTACGAGACGTGCCCGCTGCCCGTCATCCCCCCGCCCGAGGTGCTCGGCCCCGGAGCCTACTACCCTCCGCTGGTGTGGGACGCGGGGCTGCTGTCCAGCCTGTTCCCGGGCGGCCCGGGCAGCGAGGCCGCGGGCGGCGCCGCGCCCGCCCTGGACCTGACGGCGCTCTCCAGCGAGGAGGACGAAGGCAAGAGCTCGGGGCCGCCCAGCCCGGCCTCGGCCCCCGCCGCCGCCGAGCGCTTCCGCTGCGCCCAGTGCGCCAAGGCGTACTCCACCTTCGCCGGGCTCTCCAAGCACAAGCAATTGCACTGCGACGCCCAGGCCAGGAAATCCTTCAGCTGCAAGTACTGTGAGAAGGAGTACGTGAGCCTGGGGGCTCTCAAGATGCACATCCGGAGCCACACGCTGCCCTGCGTCTGCAAGATGTGCGGGAAGGCGTTCTCCCGGCCCTGGCTGCTGCAGGGCCACATCCGGACGCATACTGGTAACGTCCCCTCCTGTCCCTCTCCCTCCCTCCCTTATCGCCTCCCGCTTCCCTGCTCCGCTGCCCTGGCGAATCGGCGGGCCGCGTGTTATCTGGGAAGATAAGGGCTTCCCAGACCCCCTTGGCACATCTCTCTGAAATGTCCTTTAAATATCCTCCTGGCTGGAACGGAGCGCAGGGTCAAGGCCCAGCCCGTAAATCTGCGCTGCTGCTGGGAGTGCAGGGCCTGCCCGCCAGCCACGGCACACGCTTCACCAAAACACGGCCATAAAGGGGGCTGTGAGACTGCCGGAGCCCGCCCCCCGTGCCCAGAGCATCCCCCCGTGCCCGCAGCGAGGGCTCCCAGCCGGGGCAGAGCTGCCCCCGGAGCGCTGGGTGCTGAGCCCCTCTCCGGGCGCGGCCGGGATGCGCCCGGCCCGGCTCGGCTCGGTCCCTGCCGGGATGTGCCCGGCCCGGCCCGGCTCGGTCCCTGCCGGGATGCGCCCGGCTCGGCTCGGTCCCTGCCGGGATGTGCCCGGCCCGGCTCGGCTCGGTCCCTGCCGGGATGTGCCCGGCCCGGCCCGGCTCGGTCCCTGCCGGGATGTGCCCGGCCCGGCCCGGCTCGGTCCCTGCCGGGATGTGCCCGGCCCGGCTCGGCTCGGCCCGGGCAGGTGCTGCAGGAGGCACCTGTTGGCGCGGGGCCGGGCGCGCAGCTGCAGCCCACCCCGCGGCCGCCCCGACAAAGCATCTCGCAAGCGTCCTTTGTGGGGCCGTGGGACGGTGTAATTGTGACTTGGCACTGATTTCACACCCTCTTAACGCGCTAAAGATGATGGCTGAAGGAAGCCGGGTAGACTTAATTGTGCTTTCCAAATTGAGCATACACATTTGTTTCCTCCAAAAGAGTCTTTCTGGGAGGAATTCGCCCTGGCCGGGCTTTTCAATGCGGGCCGGGCGGCAGAAGGGGGAGCGGGGCTCGGCAGAGGAAATAGCTGCGCTCACCCTGGGCTGGCGCCTCGCAGCCGCTGCCTGCTATGATATAATTAACACACGGCGCTCGGCTTTCCTGCCGGGCCGCGGCTCCTCCCTGGCTCCGCGGCAGACGCGGATCGTGTCTTCGTTTGTCTGAGCGGCTGCCGTGCTGCTTGCAGATGTTTCCAGCACTCATTTTCCGTGGTTCTCAGGAAAGGTTTTTCAGGAGCGTACAATTCCCAGGCTGGCAGTTCTCCCCCAAGCGATGCTGTGCATACCCGGCTCTCCCCCGAACAATGACAGCCAGCACTTCTTTTCACTGTGCTCCGCACAAACTTTGGCTAATGAATGGCTCCTTCTTTGATATTCCCCATGTGTTGATGCACCGGTTAATTGGGAGCGTTTCTCTTTGTCCCATAGGTGAAAAGCCCTTTTCCTGTACGCACTGCAACCGGGCCTTTGCTGACCGCTCTAATCTCCGCGCCCACCTGCAGACCCATTCAGATGTAAAGAAGTACCAGTGCAAAACCTGCTCCCGGACTTTCTCCCGCATGTCGCTGCTCCACAAGCACGAGGAGACGGGCTGCTCCGGCTCTCGCTGAGGACTCCGCTCCCCAGGCCTCTCTCATCGCCAATTCCCATATTCTCACTAGTTTCTGTAGGAGTTTCCTCCGTGCCCATTGCGGTGTGCGCCGGGCTGGACGCTGCTCCTCTGGCCCCTCGCCCTCCTCACTCGGTGCCTCCAGTGCAATGCAAGAGCCCGGCCATGAAGGATGCTGGGTTGGAAGGGACCCGTCAGGATCATCGAGTGTGACTCCTGGCCCTGTGCAGGACACCCCACCGTGTGCCTGGGAGCTTGCTGAGCCCCGGCTTGGCGCTGTGACCCAGCCTGGCACCGGGGGTGCCGCCAGCGCTCCGTGCCCGGTGTGTGAGCCTCGGGGGTCACGGTGCTGCCCCAGCCCCTGGCACCTTGCAGGGCTGGACCTGCACCCTCCAACACTGCGACCGTGTAGCCTGGGGGGCTGGGGGTTTTGGGTTGGATTTGTTGGGTTTTGTTGTTTTGTTTTGTTTTGTTTTTTCTTTTTTGTAACACCGTAACCACTTGGTAACTTTTAAGAACCAGTATTTTTTTAATGAAGGACAAGACACTCCCCCCGTACCCCGAGTGTATATAACCCGCCTGTAGAAGGTGTAACTATGCAATAATACAGTCTCCCAGTAGTTGTGAAGCAGCTGCTTCTCCCCAGCACAATGACAATTTGCAATGCCTGCGAGATTAACAGTGTCCATGAAAGGCAGGGGTAGCCATTTCAAACCCCAGCCCTGTTTACAGAGCAGCTATGCACTCAAGCACCTGTTAATATGACTCTTAACAACTGCTTTTCAAGAGAACTGTGACTAATAGCAGGCACTTGTCAGCTGATACAATGGTGGCCTGTCCCAAGGCCGTCCATGACAGGTGTGTGCCAAAAGCCCTATTTATGGGTATTGACAGGTGCCTCCTGAATGCATCTTTCTTTGGGCATTGTTTTCACGGAATCATTACAAAGAGGATGTTTACATTTCAAAGGTACACTGGTATTTATATTTTTGTGCCACAATTTTGTACTGATGAAACTTTTTATATAATGATATACAATTTATTGATATTCAATAAAATCGTTAATTTATAACGGGGTGTTGTGGGTGCTCAGGGTGAACGTGCAGCTGCGAGGGGGGAGCGCCGTGCGGCCCCGGCTGCTGGGCTCGGCTCTCCTGCCACCCTCGGCCTCTGGCTGCAGGTGCCTCGAAAGTGGAGGGGATGTGAGGAGAGGAAAAGGCAGTTCCTGCCGGGCAGCTGTGCCCTGGGGGCGCGGAGATCTCCGGGTTCGTGTGGAAAGCAGAGCTTGCCGTGTCCCTCCCAGCCCGCTCGGGTGGGCGCTGCTGTCCCCAGGAGCTGCTGGAGCCCCTGAGCACGGCTGGGGAGCAGGTCCTGCCGCAGCACAGCGCTCTGTGCATGCCTCGGGGATGGCAGAGCTCCTCGGGCTCTGGCAGGAGCAGCACGGGGCTCTGTGCATCCCTCGGGGGTGCAGAGCTCTCGGCCGGAGCCAGGGCCGCCCCCAGCCCAGGGCTGAGCCGGTGCGGGTGGTGCGGCAGCAGGGCTGGCACATCCCGTTGTCACAGGGGGCTGTCCCTGCCTGGGGCACCAAGGGCCGGCGCTGCGGGTGCTGCAGTGTCTGTCTGCTCCAGGACTGCCAGGGTGAAGCTCCCAGGGCCCCACACCGCCTGCCCTGCCCCTTCCCAGCGCCCTGCACCGCCCCAGCCTCCCCCGAACCTGGGGCGCTCAGAGACCGCGGCCAGGCTCCCCGCCTGCCTCCCCAGGCCCTGGGGTTCGTCCTGCCCGCATTTCCTCGGTGCCATCTCCCGGACCTTGCTTCCAGCCGTGAATGGAGGGACAGCGTCCCCCGGCTCCCATCCCCGCGGGCTCTGGCTCCCCCAGGGCTGCTCGGAGCAGGAGGATGTGTGTGGCTGTAAAAGCCAGCAGAGCTGCTGCTCGGCCCTTCTTTAATTAAGAGCTCACCCGGCATAAAGTGACTTTCCCAGCCGAGTTGGACTCATTACTCGATTATTAAGCAGGGCAGGAAGTTTTGGGTTTGCTCTTGTGTGTGCTTTTCTTCCTTTTCCCAACAGGAAGCGGGGGAGGGGCACTAATTACTTTCAGCTTTCCATCCATAAAATCCTGGAGCCGCAAAAGCAGCTAAACAGTTAAAAAAAAAAAAAAAAAAAAAAGAGCGGTTTTGGGAAGGGACCACCTGCAGGAGTGGGAAGGAGGGTCAGGATGGGTGCCCTGGAGCAGCGGCCCCGCAGCCCCAGCTCGGACAGCCCCAGCAGGGCCCGCACGGCGCTGTCCTGCCCCTTGTGCCAGGGCTGGCACCGCACGGGACCCCGACCCTTCCTGGGGACCCCGACCCTTCCCGTGCCGCTCGGCTCTCTCTCCGTCCCGCGGGGACCCTCGGGACCCCTGCAGCTCCCTCTCAATGGGCTCCAGCTGACATCGGTCAGGCCGGCGGGAGCGCTGTGAGAACCCTCCTCCTCCTCCTCCTCCTCCTCCTCGGCGAGCCTCGCTGCTCTCCCTGCGCTCCCGGCTTTGTGCAGAGCCTGGCCGGGACGCCAGGCCTTTAGAGGGAAGGTACAAACCGGGTGGGGAGCAGCCGAGGCTCCACTGACAAATCCCGCTGGCATTCAAACACAAATGCAGCCTTAAAACACTGGGAAAAAGAAATGCTGCCTGTTCTGAATCACAAAAGCACAGCCCGCTGGCACTCTGCCGCATCTGCTGCCGGCCCTGCCCGGCCCGTGTGCCCTGGGGACACGGCTCTCAGGTGATGTCCCGCCCCGCCCCAGGTGCTGCCCAGCCCTGCACCAGCTGCTGTCCCTCGGCAGGGTGATGAATGTGCTCCGGATCTCTCCTTTTCTGAGCAGCTGCTCAATTTACTACTGCAGAAGTATTTCTCTTTCTCTACCTGAGGGGTTTGGGGCGAGCAGAGGGACCAGGACCATGGCCAGGACACCCTTGGGCCCAGCTCCACACACGGGGGATCCCGTCCGTCCTTTCTCTGCCCCTGCAGCGCTTTGGGGCTCTGGGATGGGGAAACGCCCCAGCAGCTGGGCCTGAGGGTGAGTGAGATCTCTCCTGTCCTGGCTCTGCAGGCATCCGGAGCATCCCAGACGCGCGGAGAAGGAAAGCAGGAGGATTGCATCCATCCTTGCAAAGGCTGAGCTTCATCCCCTCAGTCACTTGGGAGCCGCAGTTCCCAGAATTTCCTTTTTCACCCTTTTCTGTCCCCATCTCCCCCAAGGACAGGCACAAGGCACACCTGGTCCTTGTGCTGTGAGGGACCCCCAGAATACCTCCTCCCACCTCCAGAGAGGCAGAAAGCAAAAAAATCTCACTTTCTTCTCACGTCAGTGCAAACCTATCTGACAGAAATGTTCTCACGATTCTGTGATCTCCTGCATCCCCCTCAGCCTCTGCAGGAGCACTCCCAGCATCTGAGAGCGTGCAGAGGAGGCAGCCAAAGCTCAGCCCTTCCAAAGTGCAGCAGCCTCATTCTTCTTTTGGCTCTCTCCTTAGACTGAGAAAGCTGAAAAGCAAACAGGAGCCGGGCAGAATGCAGGGAAAGGCTGGTTCTGGAAGCTGAGGGCAGGATGCAGGGAGGGAAAGGCCCGTTCTAGAAACCAAGGGCAGGATGCAGGGAGGGAAAGGCCCGTTCTAGAAACCAAGGGCAGGATGCAGGGAGGGAAAGGCCTGTTCTGGAAGCTGAGGGCAGAATAAAGGGAAGGAAAGGCCCATTCTGGAAGCTGAGGGCAGGGCAGCTGTTCCTGATTTGGGGCAGGGAACGATCAGAGAGGCTGGGGTGGCTCAGGGGGTGACCAGCAGGGACACTGTGGCTCTCCCACCGGCCATAGCTGGGATGCAGGAGGCCTCGGGAGTGGGGTGAGGCTCTCCCTGCCCGGCCAAGGGCAGCAGGTGCCGTGCAGGCTCAGGCTGTCATCGGGCAGCACCAGGAAAGCCTCTGTCCATGAACAGCCCTGCAGAAGGAGCGGGCTCACAAACAGACTGCAGGTGCAGCTATTGTTTTCCTGCCCGTGGGCTATTGACATGAGCAACAATCTCAAATTAATCTTTAATCGGCTGATGAACCGAGGGCGTGGGGCTGGGGAGGTGCGAGCCTTCCCGTGCAGATAAAGCACAGCAAGTGCAGAAGGAAGGGCTGGGCAGCCCCGGGGAGGCTGCAGGGCTCAAACAAAGCTGCTGTCCCTCCTGGGGTGCAACGGTGTGGGTGGCAGCGCCACCGTGGTCTGCCCTGCCTGCACTCACCTTGCCTGGCATCCCCTCTCCCAGCCCGTGCCCCTGGCTGCCCCCAGAGCAGCGGGGCAGGGCACAGGGGGATGCCCATGTCACCAAGGGGCACAGAGTGATGCCCACCTCACCAAGGGGCACAGGGTGATGCCCACCTCAGCACAGGGGCACAGGGGGATGCCCACCTCACCAAGGGGCACAGGGGGATGCCCACCTCAGCACAGGGCTGCACCAGCCCCAGCACAGCAAAGGCCACCTGCCGCAGAGCTGGTGTCATTAATTCACCACCTGGGGATGGGCACAAGGGCCGGCAGCAGTGACTGCCGTCCTCTGCACCAGCCTGTGCCCGCTCTGCAGCAGCCGTGCCGTGCTGTAACTCATTGGAGGTGTGCCCAGAAAATCATCAGAAAGGGTTTTAAATCCAGCACAATGCACGTAAGCGCGGATCACCTCGTGTTTTACTGGCTCCCTGGAAGCAATGCGAGGCCTGTTTTACTTTCCCCAGTAAAAGGCTCACGTTTCACAGGCAGGAGATTGGCGGCTCCCGAGCTCATTAGCCCGGGTTTCCCTCCACCTCCGCATTTTCCACGCAGGGTTACGGTGGCGGCGCGGTGTCTGTGGCCGCTCGCTGCCCATGGAGCCCCCCGTGCCCCGATGTGCTGCGGGCCGGGCGCGCAGGGCCGGCGTGCTGCGGCACGGAGTCACTGCAAAGAGCTTCGAGAGCCTGCATTATGTCATTACTCAATTAGCCTGCTGGTAATAGCACTTCATTAGAGAGACGGGTCCTATTCACCGGCCTTAATCCACTTTCTAAAGCCAGGCCTAGAGCCATTGATCACTTTTCCCGCTTTCCTGATGAGGCAGAAAGTGGTTTTGGAGAGCGAGGAGCGACCGTGCTGCGGTGCCAGGGCAGCGTCTCTGAGACAGGGGTGGCAGCCCTGGCACCTCGGGCACGGTGGGCACGGCAGAGCACCTGCCCCTCTCACAAACCAGCCCGTTACCCGGGGAACGAGGGAGCTTCGGTGTCCGGCCATTGGGATGGGCACTGCCCGCCCGCGGCTCCGGCTGAGCGGGCAGGAAGAGCCCAGAGCCCTTCCCGTGTCTCTGAGGGCATCCGCTGCCATCCCGGGGGTGCCAGAGCTGCAGGGAGCTCCTTCCCCTGCCCTGGTTACAGCAGCTGCTGTCTGTGATCAATACTGAATTTCCCCCCTAAACCTCACTTCACAGCAATCACCTTCCATCATCGCTTCCTCAGAGCTGGAGGGCAGCAACGTGGGGCCACGCTGGCTGGAAAAATTCAGAGTTATTGGTAGCTGTGACTCAGATGAGGGCCCGAATGCAGACACTCTGGGAGATGGCAAAAGGCTCCCTTCGAATGCAGAGCATCCCGGGAGGCAAGGGGGGCACGTGCCTGTGGGACAGTCCCTGCTGCTGCTGGGGACACAGGGGGGCTGGCACATCGCACACCGTCACCCACGGACGCTTCAGATCTTCCGCGATTCAAGCAAACACCTTGTTTTCATTCAAAGCCTTTTGCCATTTCGTGCTGCTGGCTGCTTCTCTGAAAGGAAATAGCTGTCCCATAAATAAAGGGTGGTGGAGGGAGGGAGGGAGGCTGGGGGAGCTGTGAGCGCAGACTCGGGAGCTGTTCCTGCTGTGCCCCGGCTCAGGGCTGCCCAGCGCCGGGCAGAGATGGGCCCAGGTACAGGGTGTGCCAAGGAACTGCCGGGGCAGCCCCAGGCGCCCCTCCTCAGCCCTGCCTGCTCCCCGTGCTCCCCATGTTCCCCACGCTCCCCGTGCTCCCCACGCTCCCCATGTTCCCCACGCTCCCCGTGCTCCCCATGCTCCCCACGCTCCCCATGCTCCCCGTGCTCCCCACACTCCCCATGCTCCCCGTGCTCACCATGTTCCCCATGTTCCCCGTGCTCCCCACCCTCCCCATGTTCCCCATGTTCCCCACGCTCCCCACCCTCCCCATGTTCCCCACGCTCCCCATGCTCCCCGTGCTCACCATGTTCCCCATGTTCCCCATGCTCCCCACGCTCCCCATGTTCCCCACGCTCCCCATGTTCCCCACGCTCCCCACGCTCCCCATGTTCCCCATGTTCCCCATGTTCCCCATGTTCCCCATGTTCCCCGTGCTCCCCACCCTCCCCATGTTCCCCATGTTCCCCACGCTCCCCACCCTCCCCATGTTCCCCACACTCCCCATGCTCCCCGTGCTCACCATGTTCCCCATGTTCCCCATGCTCCCCACGCTCCCCATGTTCCCCACGCTCCCCATGTTCCCCACGCTCCCCACGCTCCCCATGTTCCCCATGTTCCCCATGTTCCCCATGTTCCCCGTGCTCCCCACCCTCCCCATGTTCCCCATGTTCCCCACGCTCCCCACCCTCCCCATGTTCCCCACGCTCCCCATGCTCCCCGTGCTCACCATGTTCCCCATGTTCCCCATGCTCCCCACGCTCCCCATGTTCCCCACGCTCCCCATGTTCCCCACGCTCCCCACGCTCCCCATGTTCCCCATGTTCCCCATGTTCCCCATGTTCCCCATGTTCCCCGTGCTCCCCACCCTCCCCATGCTCCCCACGCTCCCCATGCTCCCCACGCTCCCCATGCTCCCCGTGCTCACCATGTTCCCCATGTTCCCCACACTCCCCATGTTCCCCACCCTCCCCATGTTCCCCACGCTCCCCACGCTCCCCACGCTCCCCATGCTCCCCCTCCAGCTGGGGCTGCACTGGGGGCAGTTCCTGCAGTGAGCCCTGGGCTGGGCTCGGGGCACCAGAGCTGTTCCTGCTGCTGCAGGAGCCTTGGCTGGGACAGACCTGCAAAACTCCACGTGTACTGAGGGAGGGCAGGGAGCAGCTGGGTGAGCAGGTGTGACATTGCCAGCCCTGCTCTGGGCGCTGCAGGCGCCCCATTGCCAGCCCTGCTCTGGGTGAGCAGGTGCCACATTGCCAACCCTGCTCTGGGTGAGCAGGTGCCCCATTGCCAGCCCTGCTCTGGGCGCTGCAGGCGCCCCATTGCCAGCCCTGCTCTGGGTGAGCAGGTGCCACATTGCCAACCCTGCTCTGGGTGAGCAGGTGCCACATTGCCAGCCCTGCTCTGGGTGAGCAGGTGCCACATTGCCAGCCCTGCTCTGGGTGAGCAGGTGTGACATTGCCAACCCTGCTCTGGGCGCTGCAGGCGTCCCATTGCCAGCCCTGCTCTGGGTGAGCAGGTGCCACATTGCCAACCCTGCTCTGGGCGCTGCCGGTGCCACATTGCCAGCCCTGCTCTGGGTGAGCAGGTGCCACATTGCCAACCCTGCTCTGCCACCCCCAGCAGGGACAGGCACAGCTGAGGGCTCACCCTGCAGCCACCATCACCCCGTGCCTGCTTCACACCAAGGAGCTGCTCCCAGATCAAAGCGCTCTGAGGTTCTCCGTGAGCAGCTGAGGAGCTCTCAGAGCTGCTGTGACACACCTGGCCATGGGGTTGGCTTGTCCCCATGGGATGGGCTGGTCCCCAGCGTGTCACCATCACCTCCTCGTCACTCACCCTGCAGGGAGGCGCTCAGCGGGGTCTGTGGGCCCTCAGCATCCCCAGCACTGAGCTCCTGCTGGGTTTGCAGCAGAGCCAGGATTGCCGCACGCTGGGTTACAGCAGAGCCAGCTCTGCAGCGCTCCTGCCCCTTGCCAAGGCCACAGGTGACAGCCTCTCGCTCAGTGTCACCGTCCTGGCCTGCGGACGGGGTGATGGCAGCTCTGGCACCGTGCTGGATGCTCACAGTGTGGGAGCTGGGGGCTGGCAGTGTGTGGCCTCTCTGGGAGAGCACGGAGATCCTGGATGTCTGTTATCACTGAGGAGCAGGGAAAATACTGTGATTAAACAGAGGGAAAATAATAATGGCTAATGCTTCCAAAAGTAATTTGGGGAGTCTCAATTTAGAAAGCCAAAATTGAGCTCCCTTGAAGAGACAGTTTTCCAGAGGCTTCTCCAAGGCGTCTGGAGGAGTCATCGCCGTCTGGCACCAGCAGGATTTGCCATTTCTAGGAGCTGTGGCCGGGAAGTGATGGTTGGGATTCCAGCCTGGTGCTGGGGCTGCCCGTGCCCACACAGGAGCTGCCCCACCAACCGGCCCTGCAGCTCTGGGGGGCTCGGGCCGTGCCAGCAGCGCCAGCGCTGCCCGGGCTGGGGCCGTTACCGTGAGAGAGCTTTCCCAAAATAGTCCCTGGCAGCCCTCCACGCTCTGTGCCGGGCCAAGTGTCTCTGAGCTGGCTCCCAGCTCCCCGCAGCCCTGGGAGGAGCGGCCGCTCCCCTCTCCCCTCTCCCCTCTCCCCTCTCCCCTCTCCCCTCTCCCCCTGCATCCCCTGCCCGGGCAGGGCCCCCTCCCCTGCTGCTGCTGCTGCTGCCTGGCTGAACGAGCCTGTGTACATTAAATTGGCACCCTGGCAGGAGGCTGCCATGGGAAGCAGATGCTCTTGATTAGCCCCACATGGGCAGGGCAGGGCTGCCCCCAAGCAGGGCCACCGCGCTGCCCCCCGAGCAGGGACACCGTGCCCGGACCAGGGGCACTGCCCCAGAGGGGTGGCTCAGGTGGGAGCCAAGGGAGGGAGCACATGGCCAGGGCTAGGAGGGCTGGCAGGGTGGGCTGGGAGTGATGCTGTGTGCCCAGTGATGCTCGGGGGAATGGGCTCAGTGCTCAGTGAAATGGGTTCAATGCTCAGGGAATGGGCTCAGTGCTCAGTGAAATGGGTTCAATGCTCAGGGAATGGGCTCAGTGCTCAGTGAAATGGGTTCAATGCTCAGGGAATGGGCTGAATGCTCAGGGAATGGGCTCAGTGCTCAGGGAATGGGCTCAGTGCTCAGTGAAATGGGTTCAATGCTCAGGGAATGGGCTCAGTGCTCAGGGAATGGGCTCAGTGCTCAGTGAAATGGGTTCAATGCTCAGGGAATGGGCTCAGTGCTCAGTGAAATGGGTTCAATGCTCAGGGAATGGGCTCAGTGCTCAGGGAATGGGCTGAATGCTCAGGGAATGGGCTCAGTGCTCAGGGAATGGGCTCAGTGCTCAGTGAAATGGGTTCAATGCTCAGGGAATGGGCTCAGTGCTCAGGGAATGGGCTGAATGCTCAGGGAATGGGCTCAGTGCTCAGGGAATGGGCTCAGTGCTCAGTGAAATGGGTTCAATGCTCAGGGAATGGGCTCAGTGCTCAGTGAAATGGGTTCAATGCTCAGGGAATGGGCTCAGTGCTCAGGGAATGGGCTCAGTGCTCAGTGAAATGGGTTCAATGCTCAGGGAAATGGGGTCACACACCAGCACAGCTCCCTGGGGCAGCACCCCATGCCTGTGGGAGCCAAGCTGGACCTGTCAGCTCCATCAGGCTGAGAGAACTGGGTGAGATGAGGGCTGGGAGCAGCAACACAATGGCTCATGCTGCCAAGGATGACACCCTGGGGACCAGGAAGGCAAGGAGAGGCATGCCCAGAGCAGCTCCAGCATCCAGCACAGCATCCCCAGCCCATGCCATTTGCAGCCCATGGGCAGCACCTGGCCCCAGGCAGCAGCCAGACTGCCCAGCACTGCCCCAGCCCCTCAGACGCTGCCCCAGCCCCTCAGACGCTGCTCCAGCCCCTCAGACGCTGCCTCTCCCCCCGCAGCAAGGGCTGCAGCCCCGTTCCGAGGTCCTGGCCCGGTGACCCTGCCCGGGCCCCTCTGCACGGTGGAGCTGTGGGTTCAGCCTGCAGGGAGAGCCCCGCACGGAGCTCTGTAACCCGAGCACCTTTCCCTGATAACATCTGGCCAAGGGGCCGCTGGCCAGGCCAGGTCGCAGGGGGTCCCTGACCCCTCTGAACACCCCCGGGACCCCGCACCAGGGGCGAGGGGAGACGCTCAGACACTCGTTGGTGCTGCCAGCTTTGTTCCTTCTGTTCTTCCCTTTCACGGTTCTGTCCCCACTTATCTGCTGCCCTTTCCAGCCTCCCCAGCGTGCTTTCTCCAGCCCTGCCAGAAGGGATGGCCATTTCTGTTTCTTCTCAAGGCATTTTTCCACCCACCCTCTCTGGCCCTGGTGGGAATTGTCAGCTTGGAGATAACGAGAAGGATGGATTGTCGTACAGGATGTTGCACGAAGCCCAAGTGCTATTTGCAGGCAAGTTTAATAAGTAATAATAAGGAGAGAGAACTCCAAAGGAAGTAACCTGGTACAGCAGACAAGGCAGATTTATCAAGGCAGGGAGGAAATACTCCCCAGAAATGAATCTGGCATGAGTTCCTGCGCACCAGTCCCACGATCCTGTCTGCCACCACAGGCAACTCTTATCTGAAACAGTCCAGTGTTTAAAATAGACTGGAAAATAAATAGTCTTCCAGCACGACTGATCCTCCAGAGCCTGCAGTTCATCCCAGCAGCATTTACAGTTTTCTCTGGAGTGTTTCCGACATGTACTTCAAGACCTTCCAACTCTTTTCTCCTCCCCTGCTTGTGACATTAATGAACCTTCAGGGATTCTCAGGGCCCATTTTATGTGGATGTATTTTCAAGCAGCAGAAGGAGAGGGGTTCCCAGCCGGGGAGGAGGCAGAGTGGCTTCGTGAGGCGCTCGCAAGCAGGAATCCATCAAGCGCCAGGGCTGAGCGTGGCCGCGGCAGCTCGCTCGCGTGAAGTTGTTTAATGTTCATTGTTCACGGCCGTGTCACCCTAATAGAGTATTTTATTGTTTTTCCAGTTGTACTTAAACCCATCATTCATTATCCCGCCCGGCCAGCCAGTGCCTCACCTCTAATTGATGACACCAGACGAAGTGCCTGGTCAAAGTTTCCAGTGTCTCCAGCACAGCTGGGACTGGCTCCCTGCCGCCCCAGCCCTGCCTGGCCTGGGAGTGACCTGAGGGAAGGGGGACAGGGCCACAGCAGCTCTGGCTGCTCACGGCGCGGCTCAGGGAGCAGGGGCTGCGCAGCAGGGCTGGCACGGGCACCGGGTGGCCCTGGGACGGGGCACGAGCCCAGAGACGCCCCGGGGGCCAGGGTGCCACCAGCACCCCCGGGGACGTGGGGAGCACCAGGCTGGGGGGCAGCAAACCCGCGGGGCCGTGCCCACCCTCCTGCAGAGAGAGTGCCCGGGGGCACGGCCCTGGCTTGGCCGAACAGCAGCGACCAGGGAGCGGGGCTGGCACAGGGGAGCCCCAGGAGCCCCGGCCCTGGCAGCAGGGACCTCACACAGGCGGCCCTTGGCTCTGACAGCCCCTGGATGAGCCCTTTTGGCCAACTGAGCCACGTCCCCATGCTGTCCCTGTGTGCCAGGCTGTGCCTGTGTGCCATGCTGTGCCAGGCTGTCCCTGTGTGCCAGGCTGTCCCTGTGTGCCATGCTGTGCCAGGCTGTGCCTGTGTGCCAGGCTGTCCCTGTGTGCCATGCTGTGCCATGCTGTCCCTGTGTGCCAGGCTGTCCTGTCCCTGTGTGCCATGCTGTGCCAGGCTGTGCCTGTGTGCCATGCTGTGCCATGCTGTCCCTGTGTGCCAGGCTGTCCCTGTGTGCCAGGCTATCCTGTCCCTGTGTGCCAGGCTGTCCCTGTGTGCCATGCTGTGCCAGGCTGTGCCTGTGTGCCAGGCTGTCCCTGTGTGCCAGGCTGTCCCTGTGTGCCATGCTGTCCTGTCCCTGTGTGCCATGCTGTGCCAGGCTGTGCCTGTGTGCCATGCTGTGCCATGCTGTCCCTGTGTGCCAGGCTGTCCCTGTGTGCCAGGCTGTGCCTGTGTGCCATGCTGTGCCATGCTGTCCCTGTGT